CGGATTTTTCGAGTTCGAGAGCTCAAGTTTTCTAACGAGTCGAGTTTGAGCTCAGTCTTAGTTGTTTGGAAGCGCTTGTCTTTTTTAATTTTAATATTTTATTTTTTATTTTTTTAAATGTAATTACTATATAATAAAATACATGAAAGTAATAAAAAATAAATTAGAGGTCATTTTGGTTTTTCAATTTTTATAATTATAATTTATAATAATAAAATTCTAGTAATAAAAATAACACAATATGGCTTATGCTCGAGCTCGAGCCCATAAACAAATACTAAAAAAGTTCGACCTCGTCAAAATGGATTCGAACTTAAGCTCGAGCTCAACAAAACAACAAAGTTCGACTCGTGTATGCCCATAGAGTTAAATAATTACAAAATATATAATGTTTCAGAATGTACACCTAGAAATGAGGTGTGGGCAGGGGTGGGGGCAAAAATGACCAATGCTCGTCTTATATATACACAGAGCCAAACATGCCCTGAAACATGAGGGGCAAAAATGACCAATACAGTTCAGTTCATATGTATAAAACACATCAACGCCTGAAATCCCCAAAATACAAAATCAGCTCAGAAGGAAAAGAATGAGGGTTAGGGTTTGGGAATTCCTCAAGGGTGGTTGCCTCTTTCTCTCTCTAAACCCAGTGATTTCTTCTTCACAATGCCAACAGCCCTTTAAAGAAAAAAAATAATAATAATACTAATAATGTTTAGCCAAACGAGCCCTCGTTTGTGTGTGTGTGTGTGTATTTTTGAACGGTGGTGGTGTTTTGCAAAAGCTTTTGATTGTTCGATGTATACAGAGGCAGTGATGATTAATTTCTAGGGTTCCTTCTGAGCTGATTGATGGATCTGGCTTTGAGAATACCCGGCCCGTATCTTGGCGGGGCAACCCGGATGGCTGCGATTAATCATCGTATGCAACCGGGTTATTTTGCAGCCATGGCGTGGCCCTATTCTCTTTGCCTATTTACAAACAGATCTGAGCCTCTTCATTTTCATTTCTACTTTTTTTTTTTTTTTAAACTTCTTTTTTAATTTTGATAATAACGAGGTAATTAATAGGGGAAATAAACAAATACACGCCCATTTATTCGTTTTCAAAACAAAATTAATTACATGTTTTTAAATTGTTTTTTATATCAAAGTAATTACTAATTGGTTGGAATGGGAAGTAAGAACAAGATTGAGTCAAACTAAACTATTTACAGTTAAACCTCTATAAATTAATACAGTTGGGAACATCAAAATTCCATTAATTTAGCGAAATATTAACTTATCGATAAATTAATAATTATTAGTTTATACATTAATTAATAATTTATTAATTTATGAAATTATTTTTATTATTATTTTCAATGAATACATTTTTTTTTATTTTTATAAGTGAATATTATTCATTGTACCATTATTCTAATGCACTATAGAGCCCGTTTCACGAATGGAAGCTCTTAAAGCAGCAATGCTATAGAACACTTTCATGTTGAGTTATGCGAAAGCTATACCAGAAGTTCTAACCATGTTAAGAAAAGTGAGACACGAGATTGATGGTAATGTGAAGTTCAACAAGAAACAAACGGCAATTAAAGTATATTTTATTAAACCTTCATAGATCTATAAAATATGTATTGTACCATGTAATTTAAGAATTATTTTTTATGAATTATTAATTTATATATTATATGGGGCTTCCTAAAATTTTTGAATATGTCTTATTTTATAAATTTAGCGAATTATTAATTTAGCACGTTGTCCCCGAGTCGGGACCGGAAAAATTTATTATTTAAGCGAGGTTATTAATTTATCGGGTATTAATTTATCGAGGTTCTACTGTATTAGGTACTTGCAAAGTTTGTTCGAGTTTGATTCGTTAACATAAAATTGAATACAATGATTCATTCTATAAGCTATCGAGCTCGGTTTGATTTGGGTGAAAGAAAATGATACCCCGTTTAAATAATAATTTCTTTCGATCATAACTTATTAGTAAGTAAACAACTGTATTAATTTGTAAATTTCGTTTCAATCATACCTTTCTAAAAGATTGTTCGAGTTCGATTTGTTAACAGAAGTTTGAACACAATTATTCATTCGATAAGCTATCTGGGTGAAAGATAATGTTACTACAAAATTTTTAAATTAATAATCTCGTTTAAATAATAATTTTTTTCGGTTATAGCTTGGTGAAAACATTCATGATTGTATTATTTTATAGAAAGTGAACTGTATATATAAAAATGTCAAATTATTCGAGTATGATCTGTGTTTGGTTAGATTGAATCTTGTTCCAAAAATAAATAAAAAATCAAATTCGATTCCAATTTGTAACTATAGGTACCATAAAATTGAATTATTAGAAGTGATTAAAACCTTTCAACTTAAACTTATCAATATAATTCAAGATTCAAAATTTTCTTCATCTTTAAAAGTTAGGGTGTTTGAAATTTTGCAAAGTATCGACTTTAATGAAGGTAAAAAAAAAATTGCATTTCAAATTGTTAATCAAACCAAAACAATTAAAATAGCTGAAACAAATGAGGGAACTGAAATTCCAATTCAGCCCTCCCACTCTCTCTGTTTTTACTAGGGTTTTTCCTTTGAGCAATACACATCAAAATCTGGAAAAATAGAAACAAATAAATAATAATTGAAAAAAATAAAAATAAAAAATCAATTTAGAAAAGAAAGAGAGGCTCAGATTCGCCTTTTATCATCAGCATAAAAACCAAAAGGCAAATCCCGCCATGGCTGCAATAACCAGTCGTCTGATTCCGCCACGCCAAGATGATGCGGGTTCGCTCAAAAATCTGATCTTTTCGATTTTAATAAAATAATCATCATCACAGCCTCAAATATTCGAATTAGGGTTTCAAAAGAATGGAGGATTTGGAAAGTGGACAAATCATCATCGTCTTCATCATCAATTACAAGGGCTGTTGGATCTATTTTTTCAGATGCTTGCTGAAAGCATTTAAAAAAGAATATTTTGAAATCATCGGCGGCGGCGGCTTGTTGACAGAAGAAGAGAGAGGGGCAACCACCCTTAAGAACCCTAATTCATACCTCTCTCCTCTGCACAAAAGAAACAGCTAGCAGCCTCATACTTAAACTAATGAGGTTTTGAGGGTTTTCTATTCCACGCCTCTTCTATTTATATAGCCTCCTCTAAGGCTGGGATTGGGTTAATTTTTATTTAGCAACTGATCCATTAACGAGCATGTTTTTATACGGATGATAATTTTTTAACCGATCCATTGGACTGGGTTGAAAATTTCGACCTAAGCATCTGTAATGAATCGGAATCGGTTGACAGTTTCTAATATTATCAAAAGTCGGTTGACCGATAATTATCAGTCAACCAACTATAGTAGTAACATTTTACTAAAAAATATAAAATAAAAGGTGTTGTTTGTTTAAATGGGTATTAGAACTACCGAAAGAGTTAGTATTTTAAATTAAAAAAAAAAAATTTACATCAACAAGAAAAAAAAGTTGATATAAATCTTCAACTAGCTAGAATTTCAAAACTATATTTTTCTGCTGAATTGCTATTAACTATTTTGAAATGATAAACGATTATGGCGAGTGACAATAGGTATAATGTGCATATTTTTACTCCAAATTTTAATTTTTTTTAAGTGAATTATGTAGCAAGTATAACCATCAACTAATCCATTTCAGAACCAAATATTTAGTTGTTAACCATCAACCGACCCACAAAAGTTGGGTCGGCAATGGTTTTCAAATTTGAATAAATTTGGTTTATCGAATGGGTCGGTTTTTAGGCTGGTAATTGACCGACCTGACACTACCCAATTTCAGTCCTACTTTAAAATGTGTCAAAATAATGTCAATAAAAATAATAAAAACTATATTTTCGCGTTCATTGTTAAAAATTAAATAGAGTTATGGATCTCATTAAAATAACATGGAATTTATCTATCAATAATTAAAAATTATACTACACATTAGATTCATACCTTTTTACACACTATATAGATAGATATACATATGTAATCCGGATCAATTCAATTTCAGTCGTTCGTCAAGTAGATCCGGTCCAATAAAAGCGCATAAAAGGAGGCAAGCTTGCAAGGGTGGTCGACCACGATAATCTTCCAATGGTCGGCTATAATTAAGCAAGATGTTAGCTCGTTTGGGTCATGTGACATTATCCAATGCACGTCCTATCACTTAACAGGTTGAGAGAATGTTTGTTGTTTTCACCTATGCATTTATTCAACTATGCATCTGAATGACATAGTAAATACAATTGAAAGGTAAGTTCACATCGGGATATATTTTTGACCTGAAATGATTGGACATGTTTAACTGGATTGAAGAAGAAATTGACGTCCGAACATTCTCCTATTATTACCAGACATTATGGGCCATACAAGCTAAGAAACCCACAACTCAAGAACTTATAATTCAATAAGAGAATTTCTTAAAGACAATTACTGATTTGGCCGTCATATTGCTAACTATGACTTAAAATGTAGTCGTTTTCTTTCTTTAGCAAATCCTATTTAAGCTTAAAAGCTTAGTTCAAAAACCCATCAAGAATTTGACTTGATCTATGTGCAACAAATCGTTCAATTTCAAATCAAACAATAGATGTTTCTAAAAAAGAAAAAAAATAAACAATAAGTGTTTATGCGAATACAATTGCAATTTTTGATCTACTCATAACATATTTTCAGAGAATTTTAATAAAATATTAGATTGTGAATGCTCAAAAACTACGAAATCTTATCACATAGCTGAATTAACTTACGATTTACGGTATTTACGGTTTCCGATTTGTAGTTTTACCAAACGATTCATTAGCGATCAAACAACCATGTCCGCATTATTCATCATTATATATATATATATATATATATATATATATATATATATATATATATATATATATATATATATATATATATATATATATATATATATATATATATATATTTGCATTGTATAGCTTAGTAAACACATCACAATAATTAATTTTCTTTTCCAGAAATCTAATCCAAAAAATCACCAATATGTATACGCATAAAATGGTAATTCAAGTATATATAATTATATATATATTAATACATCAATCAGTGTAAATATATATATTTGTAAGTAATCTTTTTTTCAACAGCCTCCAAAAACATCCTATACCACTCCAATAAACAACTTGTATATATTAGTGTTACATCTCGAAAAACCGATCGATCAGTCAGCCGTTTTCTTCAATCTATGCATATATATTCAGAAGAGCCACCATTGCAGCAAACAAGATACAGCTCGAAGTACTAGTGACTGAAGTACTCGAAGATTTCGGTCCTGGAGCTGAAGCCGGAGTTTGGGTTGTCGAAGCCGAGTCGTCAGCCGACTGAGATGTCGAATTTTGCGCTACGGCGGGCAGTGGTGGATCCACCACATCCGCAATGCTCAGCAGTGGCGGCTCAGCCACCTTTTCTGGCTCGTAAAGAAATCCCGGTTCCATTGGTTGCACCGAGTATGCGGCTCCGTCTGAAGTACATGTAGACCCTGCAATAACATCGTAGATTCCTTTTCGTGAGCGGTCGGTTCTTTTTTATTTTATTTTTTTGTTATGACATCAACAAATTACAGTAGAACCTCAACAAATTAATACTCGATAAGTCAATAACCTCGCTTAAATCATAGTTTATTCTGGTCCCGACTCGGTGAAAACTTACTAAATAATTACTTCGATAATTTAATATTTCGCCAAATTAAGAAATTTGCTAGTCCTGACTCTCTATTAATTTATAGAGGTTTAACTGTAGTTGCTGGTTGTATAGACAATGTTGGTTCGCGAAAATATGTAATTAGGGTCGAGAATTGGAACGGAAATTTCGAATTCTACCAATTCCGATCCAAATATGTTTGATGTTGGAACAACATTTTTCATTCGGAATCCCGGTTTCCGATTTTGTTTTTGGAACGGAATTGGAATACATATTAGATTCCGATTTTCGTTCCGATTTTATATTCCGAAAAAAAATCCAATTTATTTATAAAAAAGTACTTACTAGCGAACAAATTTGCGGTGGCGGGATAATCCGTGACGAAGCCATCGACACTCTGCGAGTAGAAAGTGGCGATCTCCACATAAGGGTCGGATAAATAGTCGAAGATCAAGTTCTCGAATTCGTTCTTCAAAACGCCAACGTAGACGGAGATATTAGCGGCGTGAAGTGCCGGCACCGTGGCGGTGAAATTGAAGGCGAAGTTATCCGATGCCACGACGATGGCGTCTCTGTGGATGAATACGGCGTCGGCGTACTTCTTCACGTCCTGCGCCACCTGGCTCGGCGCGCCGCTAATCGACTCCTGGAGGTACAGCACTCTCTCGTAAGTAGGGTTGTCTTTGAACTTCAACAGCACCGAGCTGTCGTCCGATTGGATAAGGACTTTCTGCGTCGACTGCTTGTCCAACGTGGCGTTGGTCAGCGCCTCCGAGACGGAACCCACAATGTCTAGCCCTTTCGATGCAAGGTATGCAGCATTCTGAACAAATTAAATAATAAAAATAAAAATAGGCTGTAATAAAAATGCATTCTTGAATTAATCAAAGAGAATCAAGAACATGTTTTTTTTCCAACAAAGAAACAAAAAACACATTCTTTTGACTATGGGGGCCATGGTCCCCAATGGTTTTTCGAGGAGTGTGGTATTGTGGGCCCTCAAAAAACATTTAGACGGTGTTTGCAAAAGCTTTTAGAAAAAACAGAAGTTAGTACTATAAGTGATTATTTTTTAGAAGTTGGTGGTGTTGCAAAGTTCATGAAAAAATCAATTTTAAGCAACTTATTTTAAAAGAAGTAGAAACAAAAAGATAGTATTGCAAACACTTCAAAAGTGATTCTGAGCGAAAAAAAGCTCATAATTAGTTTTCAACTTAATGTATAATTTACCTGTATATGAATGAGAACACCAGTGACTGCCTTTGTTTTCGCAATCTCCAAAAAGTCAGACAAAGTCACAAAATTCCCACTGTTCTTGTTTGCCGGGTTTCTAACGAGATCTCCCTCGAAGAAACTCTCGATTTGGGCTGAAAAATCCACATACAAAAGAAAAAAAAATGAACATAACTAGAAAATCGAAAAACATAATTATTTGTCCTGTTTCGAGAAAGCTTACGCCTCAGAGATTGGATTTCGCTCCATGCAAGATTGAAGGAGAATATTCCGTCGGCAGATTGAATATCCGCAACATTTGCGGACCGGTCCATGAAAAGAGTGGCTGCAGTTGTCGTCTTCATAAGGTCCGCTCTGTCAGAACAGAATGCAATGCCATCGCTCGACATTTGAACCGAGCAATCGATGATGTCAGCACCGTCTTCTATCGCTTTCTGGTACGCGATATCGGTCGAGCCAGGGTAATCTCCGCTCGCTCCGTTATGTGATATGATCAAAGCTACATTATATATACATATACATAAATTTTTAATAATTAGACACGTGTGTATAAATAAATCGAACTTTTCATATTCGTTAACACATCGTATTTCTTACTTTTGAATTGCCCGAGAAGCATTTGGTTATGTGGTAAGCATCCCTGTTAGATATCAGAAAGAGACGATCATGTAAATAAAAGACACGATTTTTTAAATAAAATAAAAAGAAAAAAGATAACAAGAAAACGACATAGTACATACCGATTGCTTCCGAGGCAGTTGAAGGGAATTCCGACAAAACCCCGTCGACAGAAAATTGAGAATTAGCAACAAACTGCAAGTACTCTCTAGCTGGATCGAAGCTATAATTGTAGCTTAAAGTGTTGTCGTTCGCAAATCCCGAAGCGTAAACCGCGAGCCCTTCTTTATGAGCATCTTGCACAAGGGTAGTCGCTGGTTGCAAAACACGGGCCTTATTCACGGGCCAAATGTATTCCTTCGGTACAACAATACCGGAGGCGAAAGATTTAACCATGGCTAGATTTTTAGCGAGCGAGGCGTAGGTTTGGTTTGTGGTGGGCTCCACTTCGTTTTCTCCGAGCAATGTGAAGACGAGCTTTGTTTTCGATACTCCCAACTTTGGTCGAAGGGCGGTCAAGAAACCTATCTCTGGCGACGAGATGAACTCCGGTAGATCTTTTAATTGGTCTAGGAGATAACTTTCTGCACTTATCTTGTGTTGCTTGTAGAACAAGTCATTCTGCAACATGCATGCAACAACAAAAAATTAAATTTAAAAAAAAACACTTAAAAAGAAAAATAATATATTGAAGAGGGAGAGAGATCCACCTCTATGTTGAGCCAAAGTCTTGTTGGTTTTCCATTTTTATCCTCCAACAATTGAAAAGGTCCGACAATCGGAGCACCGTCGAATACTCCTTGTCTTGTGAAAATGTTTTGCTTCACTGCAAAAACAATTTAATAAATTCTCGTCTAAACCAATCTCTTATTAGCAGAGTTGGTACCTAGAGTTGGTACCTGACCTCAAAAATGACGAAAAAAAGGGATTGTTTATTTCGAGACTTACATGTGACGTTCTCGAAAATTATTTGGGCGTTGTAGTCCAATCCGAAATATCCATTGATATCTCGTCCGTTGACATTGTAAGTCTTTGCAGCTTTAGGAAAAAGTTCGTCGATATTCGTTGAGTTTTGGAGATTTATTTGTGGTACGCAAAAGGCGTCGTTATCCTTTGTGAAGTGTAGATTGCAATAGAGAATAGTTCCGAGGATGCTAGTATCGAGCGCAAAGTCAAAAGCGGATTGACTTGAATCGGGGAAAAATCCAGAGTATCCACCATCAGCTACAATCTCAGGTTGCCCTCCTATATAGAAAAATAACAACAATTAAAGTAATTTCATTCAATTATTTAAAAAAAAAATTATCATACATTTTGTAGAGAATTCGTACCGGTTAGAGTCAACCATTTCGTTTGAGGAAGCTGTATCGGAAGAGGCTGCATAGGAACGCCGCCATGTTTGGCTTCGATTGTTTGAAACAAAAAGATACACAAAAGTAGTTGTCCAATCATTTTTCTCCAAAAAAAACTGCATCATAAGAGAATGTTCATCAAAATTTGATCAAGAAAGACAAAATAAACTCGTCTAGAGAGCAAATACCGAAAAAAGAAAACGAAAAAAACAAGAATCCCACGAAACAAACGTTATGAGAGAGGGTATATAACAAACGAAACGAAAATGGGATTCCGTTTCTTCCTTCGTCCTCTTCGATTTCGCAAATACTAAAAACACAATCAATGTTTATTCAATAATAGAAGCTGAAAAGCATTCGTTTCCACATTGTGCATGCATTGTGAATTTTATCTTCACGAGGGGGCTTTCAATAAATAATATAATATACAAAACATAACAAATTCCCTATATAAAATACTAAATTTGTGACAAGTGGTTGCCCCCACCGACCATAAAAAACGAAGATGATAAATTCCCTAAATAAAATACTAAATTTGTGACAAGTCATATGCTGGCTCCACCACTGCTAACGAGGAAATTCTTGAACATTTAGAGCAAACAATATATGCAAGGTATATAGGTAATGTTGATGAAAATTGGATCAAGAAAGAAGAAAGAAATAAATTAATCAACAATAGAAATACAAATAAATAAAAAAAAAAAAAAAAAAAAAACTCACATAAAGAGAGAGAAAGATGGTGTGAAATGGAGGAAAATGACATTCCCTGTGAAGTTCCGGGGAGAAAAAGAAGAAAAAAGGAACCGTAAGGGAATGTGAAAGAAAAGGGAAGGGAGAAATGGGGCATTAATAAGTCCCACAGATTCATCGGAATAATAGCTGCTCCCTCCATTTAAATTACCACTTTTATTGACTCTTTTTTCTTTTTTTTTTTTCATTCATTTCTGACTTTTTCCTGGTCAAAACACGTACCATAACAGTTTAACCGTTTCTATCCCCTCAAAATAAATAAATTAATAAAATAAAAAGAAAAACAAGTACTTGTTCTGATTTAATTAAGACTGTTTTCTTCATATTTAATTTTTGGTGAGAATTTATGAAACAAGATATGAATCAACTATTTTTAATTTTTAATTATTATTATTATTATTATTATTATTATTATTTTTTTTTTTTTTTTCCAATTTCCACTTGTCGTGGTACATTTATTGGGTAAAATTCATTTTAGTCGTTGAGCTTTCAAGTCAAAATCAAATTCATCCCTCAGTTTTTCAATTTGTTTAATGTCATCCCTGAATTATAATTTCACCGCTAAAATCAATCATTTTTTACAAAATGCCCACATTATCCCTTACAAAACCTGGGGGACTGAAATGACATTCATCCATAATTCCCAATTTTAGTTTTTTTACTGAATACCTCAAATTAAAATTAGGATAAATTCCACTTTCTCCCCTTTACTTTGGCTCGATATCACTTTACCCCCTTCTACTCTTGATTGCATCGATTTGCCCCTGTACTTGAAAAAATATCTCAATGTGGTCCTCGCCGTTAGTTTTCGGAACTTTTTGCCTTAACACCGTTTGGTCTAAAGTTTAAAAATCACAAAAACCACCCCTCATAATTTAAATAATTATTAAAAACAATTAAAAAAAATAAAAATAAATTGCGGCTGGCGTCGTGGACTATGTTTTCTCGTTGTCCTGAATTTATTTATTTATTAATAATTATTTAAACTGGGAGGGTGGCGTTTTTGTAAATATCATAGCTGAGATCAGACGGTGTTAAGGTCAAATGTCTAACAATTAACGGCAAGGGCGTAAATCGATGCAATCGAGAGTAAAAGAGGGTAATGTGATACCGAACCAAAGTACAAGGGGGAAAAGTGGAATTTACCCTTTAAATTATATTTAATAATATTTTCAAGATCTTAAAACTTATTTTCTCTCATTAATCCAAACAATATAAAAAAATACACACAAATATTATTTTATTTTTCAAATTCTTGTTGCAAAGTATTTTTTTTTCCAAATCTTAAAAAATATATTATTTAAAATACAAATACAAATCCATTATTTAAATATTATTCTACTAAAGAATTTTTCCAGAATTAAATAAAATCAGTTTTTTTCGTATAAGATATTGGTACCGTTAAATTTTGACTTGAAAAATTGTTTTTTGACAATCATTGAAAATTAAAAAAATTCATCAAATATTAAAAGATGCTCAACACATCTTTGATATGCGGATTTTTGTTTCGATAAGAGAAAAATAAAATTAATGCAAAGTACAACTTTACACGACGAAACTCCTTTCTCAATGTAATAATTTTCAGTGTCGACAAAAACAAAACCAAAAAATAATTGTCAATTTCCATCAAAAAAATTTGGCAACAAATTTGACATGAAAAAAAACATAGAGATAATTTCGTAACATCCATTTATACATAATTATTTTTGGAATGTTTTTTTTTTCCATAAGTTCTTGAAAATATTTTTAAATATAATTCTAGTTCGATATGTTTTGTAGAGAAAAAAGGGACACTTAGGGCTGAATTTCAGTTAAGTTTCCCAGGTTTTAAAAGGGTAATGTAGGTATTTTTTGGGGGAATGAATTTTGGCGGTGAAATTGTTTTCCAAGGATAACATTGAACCCAATTAAAATCAAAGGGATGAATTTGATTTTGATTGCAAAGCTCAGGGACTAAAATGAATTTTACCGTACATTTATTAGATATTATTCTAGGCATTCTTCTTAGTACACACTTCGGTCTCCGCTATCCTTGTGGATTTAGTTGTTGGCTATAGTGCGGCACATAGTGAAACCGTTTCCCCTGTTTTTCTCTTAGTTTCTTCCTTCTTTTTCTCTTCCTAACCTTTTTAGGGTATACTAGATGCTACACCGGGTGTAATGCACCAAGTGATCTTGAATCATATATATATATATATATATATATATATATATATATATATATATATATATATATATATATATATATTCATTAAACAAACATACAAATCATAGGCCAATTTTACCCACTAACCAAATCATTTCCGACCCATATGTTTTTTATAGATAGTCAATCATCAACCAACTCATTTAAGTTGGGTCGATAATGTCAACCAACTCATGTATGATTGGGTCAATAATGATTTATAATATGCACGAAAAAATTGGTTGGTCGGGTAATATTGGTCAACGAACTTTATTTATTATTTATTAAATTCTCTAATAGTGACTAAATTCAAAATATATAAGCCTAATTATCCAATTTATGGGATTAATTATTCTGAAGTACATTTCAATTTATGCTAATTGTGACACAAAAAAAAATTCAATATGTTGCGTAGTATTTTGGAATTTTCATTTTCACTTGAATTATTTTAATTTTGATACACATGGGATGAAAGATTTGAATTTTATTATAATATGATTGAACTATTTATGTTTAATTGCAACACATACAATTTGTAATCGTAATATGTAATATATTAAAATTTTATTCAAATATTATTGAACTAATTATGTTTAATTGTAAGAATATAATATTTGTATTGTAAAAAAGTATTTAAAAAATTGATGTTTTTTTGGTATGTCCATCAACCGACTCATAAAGTTGGTTGTCAACCAAAATCCAACCCATCTAAGTTGAGTCGATAATAGTTCCCAACATTTACCAATGTCGGTTTGTTGGGTTGGGTTGGTTTATTGGTCGGTAATCAACCAACCCAACCCACGGATGGTTGATGGTTGACTATCTACAACATAATATTGGTCGAAAATGGTTTGGTTGGTGAGTAAAATCGACCCACGAACAGCCCTAGTTATTATATGTAGATCAAAGGTTCAAGATCAACCGACGTATTTCATTGAATATAACATATACTCCGGATGTATTTCATTGAATATAACATCTACAAAACCATCTTTTTAGCTCCTTTTTTTCTTGTCGTTAGTTTATATTTTTATTTGATTATTTTTGGACATTGAACATTATATGTTTACCGATTTGATTTTACATTTAGATTAAGTTACGCCTAACTCCCGTCCTTTTGAAAGACAATTACGACTAATTTTCAGTTTCCTCTCGTGAACTATTAGGAAATCTTCACTTATCTTTCATTTACTATCAAAATCTTCAATTGCATCCATGATTCACCAGAACGGTCGGGAAGGCTGGAACGGAATGGGAACTGCCTCTGTAACAAAACCATTTGGCGGTCAAGAATGTTGGGAAACGGGCTAAAAGTGGTAGGAACGTCGGGATAATGAAATAAATAGGACAATCGCGACTGTTGCGCGTACCGGAACAAGCCAAAACGGGATTGGAACCGCATGAATCATCTAATTTACTTCTTCAGCTCCCCATCGGTGGTTTAAAGATGTCAAACTAGGATTTTAACTTTTAATTACAAGTTTTCCAAAAATTACAATTAGCTCCAATACTTTAAATGTAGTTTGATTTGAGGCAAATGTAACGACCGACGAAATTATGATTAGGCTTTTTAAATTTTCAAAATTTGCAATCTAGTCGTAATTAGTTTAGATTTCTTTTAAGGTGAAGGGATATTTTCATAACTTACAATTTCACCCTTAATTAGGATTTTTTACTTTGTTTGTGCATTTTTGCATTTCTCAAGGTTTAAAGAATTACTCAAAAATTAAAAGTGAAGTTTTAGTGATAGTTTGTATATTATTCTACTCTACCTTTAACATTATGAATTTATTTGACATTAATTCTAAATTTTTACATTTGGATTAAAATTTGTCCATTTCAACAGGGACACTGCCGCGACGTTGCAATGGAATTGGAACATCAGTTTCCGCGACACTGTCCAACGACGTTTCGGTGAACCATGATTGCATCCCAACTATACATTTTTTAGGCTAAACTAGCATTTTTTTCCCGTGC